CAACGATGTCCATGTTTTATTCAGGAAATATCCCAGGGGGGCGTATAAGGGTGCATTCTTTGTTGACTGGTTAAACACACCCGTTTCCTGCGTCTATAAAAGAGCCAGCTCTCAAAATATACTCTGGGCCATTTGGCCTCCTGAGATGAATTTGTGGCAATTCAGGAGTTGTGAAATGATGTGTTAAATTGTTCAATTTGAAACTGTAATTTTGCTGCCTCTTGACTAACCTCACCGGAAAACATTTTACTACATTTCTCAGAAATATTTCAGGCAAATCTTAGCCTGTGCCTTACTGTACCATGTATACACTTATGTGTGCATGAAATAAAGGAAGGAAATCAGATCTGGATTATTCAACTTGCATGCAACAACAACCAAGGCCAAAAAAAAAAAAAAAACCCAAGAAGAGCTTTAATACAAAATTACAAAATTTGGAAGCAGGAAGAAGGAAGATGTATGTTGAAAGCAGATCAAATATTCTTTACGTACACAAATTTTCCCCACAATGTTTCTCTGCAAAGCAAATTTCTGCTAACCCTAACCCTACCTTGTCCTTTTAAGAAAAGAAAGAAAGAAAGAAAGAAGATAGGAAATGACGGAGAAAGGGAGTGAGAGAGGGGTGAAAGAAGAAGGAAGGAAGGAAGGAAGGAAGGAAGGAAGGAAGGAAGGAAGGAAGGAAGGAAGGAAGGAAGAAAGAAAGAAAAAAGGAAGGAAGGAAGGAAGGAAGGAAGGAAGGAAGGAAGGAAGGAAGGAAGGAAAGAAAGAAGATAGGAAATGACGGAGAAAGGGAGTGAGAGAGGGGTGAAAGAAGAAGGAATGAAGGAAGGAAGGAAGGGAGAAAGAAAGAAAGAAAGAAAGAAAGAAAAAAGGAAAGAAGGAAGGAAGGAAGGAAGGAAGGAAGGAAAGAAAGAAGATAGGAAATGACGGAGAAAGGGAGTGAGAGAGGGGTGAAAGAAGAAGGAATGAAGGAAGGAATGAAGGAAGGAAGGAAGGGAGAAAGAAAGAAAGAAAGAAAGAAAAAAGGAAAGAAGGAAGGAAGGAAGGAAAGAAAGAAAGAAAGAAAGAAAGAAAGAAAGAAAGAAAGAAAGAAGATAGGAAATGACGAAGAAAGGGAGTGAGAGAGGGGTGAAGGAAGAAGGAAGGAAGGAAGGAAAGAAGGGAGAAAGAAAGAAGGAAAGAAAAAAAGAAGGAAGGAAGGAAAGAAAGAAAGAAGATAGGCAATGACGGAGAAAGGGAGTGAGAGAGGGGTGAAGGAAGAAGGAAGGGAGGGAGGGAGAAAGAAAGAAAGAAAGAAAGAAAGAAAGAAAGAAAGAAAGAAAGAAAGAAAGAAAGAAAGAAAGAAAGAAAGAAATTCTTTCTGACCCATCATACACTAAATAAAACCAAGAGGTACTTTTTTTGAGTTTCTTTCTCACACTTGTTTCAATCTCTGGACTGAGTAATCCAATGTTTCTCAATCTTGGCACATTTATGAGGGGTGGATTTCAACTCCCATGCTGGCTGGGGAATTCTGGGAGTTGAAGTCCACCCCTTGGAGAAGAGATGGGTGTCATCTCTTCTCCAAGGAAATCAGTTCTGGTCAGGGAATCACCTCCCACACGACTAAAACGACAACGATGACTGAGGAAGGATTCTTTGCCCAGTTCTTGCCTGTTTCTATCCAAGTCCCAAAGATGCTTTTTTTTTTCCAAGAGGCAACTGAAGATTTTTTCGCTTCTCTTCTCATTGAAGAAGCTTCTTTGGCTCTCCAGCTCTCTGTCCCGGTCTTTCTCTAACGAAGAGAAGGACGAGGGGGGACAGGATAGCAGCCTTCCAGTATCTCAGGGGCTGCCCCAAAGAAGAGGGAGTCAAGCTATTCCCCAAAGCGCCTGAAGGCAGGACAAGAAGCAACGGATGGAAACTAATCAAGGAGAGAAGCAAACTAGAACTAAGGAGAAACTTCCTGACAGTGAGGACAATTAACCAGTGGAACAACCTGCCTCCAGAAGCGGTGAATGCTCCAACACTGGAAGATTTTAAGAAGAGACTGGACAGCCATTTGTCTGAAATGGTATAGGGTTTCCTGCCTGAGCAGGGGGTTGGACTAGATGACCTCCAAGGTCCCTTCCAACTTTACTACTATTACTCTTTCTCTCTATAATACCTTTCCTATTATATTCCTATAATACCTATCAAAATTCTGCAAGCTGCAGATCCCTGGGCAGTGGGATCCCCGTAAATTGGATTTAATCAACAATTCCAAGGCCGTTTATGCCAAGTGTGCAGCACTGAGATCAGAAAACAAAAGCTACAGAAGGTTGCCATGCCAAGAAATAAGATCATAATCCTCTCTTCGTAAGCAAGGTTGATTCAGCTGGCACGGAAATCCTTTGGAGACCTTGTAATCCCATCTCGGGAATCAGGATGCATCTTTTATTATGTCATTCCCATCTGGGCCTGGCAGTTTGATCTGACATAACTCCTCTAACAGAGGTTAGACACTGCAGTAGGCAAATACACAAATACACAACGCTAACTCCCACAGTGTGCAGTTAGATTCGTCTCACAGTTGCAATTCTCATCTGGACTCGGAAGAGTTCTGGAGGATCGGAGACCCCTCTCCTCCAGGCTGACAAATGAAAGAAGCCTAGGTTAAATTAAAGGCTTCTGTACAAGTGATCCCGAACCTCCAGCTTCAGGAGCAGTCTACCACTGAATATCAATGCCTTGGATGACAAATGAAAGAAGCCTAGGTTAAATTAAAGGCTTCTGTACAAGTGATCCCTAACCTCCAGCTTCAGGAGCAGTCTACCACTGAAAATCAATGCCTTGGTATTCATTCCTTCTCTCTTATGACCCTCTGACCTGATTGGCTGAAGGGGGAAACGGGTCGATTTCTCTCCCAAAAGGAATCCACATCCAACAAACACTTGCCAAATAGAAGTGAAATTGCCTTTATGGGGGTCAAAATATTTGATTATGTAGAATCAAAAATCACATGAAGTATTAGTACCGCTTTATAAAGCCTTAGTAAGGCCGCCTCTGGAATCCTGCATCCAGTTTTGATCATCACATTACAAAAAAGATGTTGAGATTTTTGGGGAAAGTGCAGAGAAGAGCAACTAAGATAATCCAAGGCCTGGAGACTAAAACATACGAAGAACGGCTGCAGGATTTGGGTATGGCCAGTCTAGAGAAAAGAAGGACTGGGGGGGGGGAGACATAATAACACTATTCCAGTATTTGAGGGGCTGCCACAAAGAAGAGGGGGGGGGGTTTCAAGCTATTCTCCAAAGCACCAGAAGGCAGGACAAGAAACAATGGATGGAAATTAATCAAGGAGAGAAGCAATCTGGAACTAAGGAGAAACTTCTGATTGATTGGTCATCCTTGATTTCTTTGAGCCAAGGTGTGAATTGATAATGTCTGTTGGAATTAATGGTTGTACATATCCCTATTTATGCCTCCTACTGGAGATACAGATCTTGGAAGCAGATGAGAGAGAGAAAGTTTGCCTCCTTGACACATTGTGGAAATACACACACACATTTTAGGAAAACATTAACATATTCTCCCCGACAATTGGACTGCCGGTGGCCAAGTTAATGGAAGTAACCAGGGATGGATAAAATCCGATTTGGCAACTCTTTGCAACCACAAAAATATAACGGAAAGAGAACGCATCCCAGAAAAATCAATGTTCGGTACATTCACGGATCATTTTGCCCGGCTATAAATCTCACATCACCAGCGAGACTTTGCTGAACCCACAAAGAGCACCTTAAAGATGACATTATTTTGACCTCTTAAAAAGTAAAGCTACGGGGGAAGTTCAAAGCAGGCTCACAAACGCACCCTCCATCCACACCTGGCGTCCCACACAACCTAGAACGCCACCGATGAGAGAAAAAAACTCAGCCAGAATATGAACCGGTTCCTAAAGAAATTTTTGCATGCACCTCCTCTGGTGAGCTATTTACAGAGAGTGTTGAACAGCAAGCGAATCTCCGCTAGCCAGAAATGAGAGAAGCATCAAGGGTTTTAGGAAAAGGGGGGGGGGCGTTTTCTACAGCTCTTGATCGTTCTCTCGTTTCCCAGCACATCCCCTAGAAACCCCTGTAGGTGCCTCCTCACCTTGCCAGCTGCAGGGCTAGAGAAAAAAGTGGTTTGTTTGTTTGTTTGTTTTTCCTGTTCCCACCCATCCAATCAAGACTGTTAGGAAAAGAGATGCAGCAGAGAAAGTTTTATTATTGCAGTAACAAGGTGAGTCAACGGGGGTCGGCTACGTTTGTGGCCAAGGCAAGCAGGGCAGTGGGTGCATCCTTCTTAGAATGAGGGCAAATCCTACCAGCACTGATGATGTTACCTAGTTGGGTAGTGAAACGTCTACAAGCAAGGAATCGCGCTCAGAGAGCACCAAGGAGCCCACCTGTTGCTTTGTTTGTATCTGGTTCCATCTCCCAGTGAGGTTCAGGATTAATGGAGAGCCTCTCTCCCTCCCTCCTTCCTTCTTCTCTTTCCCTTCTTCCCTCCCTCATTTTCTTTCTTTCTTTCTTTCTTTCTCTCTCTCTCTCTCTCTCTCTCTCTCTCTCTCTCTCTCTCTCTCTCATTCTTTTCCTTCCTTCCTTCCTTCCTTCCTTTTTCTTCTTTCTTTCTTTCTTTCTTTCTTTCTCTCTCTCTCTCTCTCTCTTTCTTTTCCTTCCTTCCTTCCTTTTTCTTCTTTCTTTCTTTCTTTCTTTCTTTCTTTCTTTCTTTCTTTCTTTCTCTCAATATCTCTCTCTCTCTTATTCTTTCCCTTCCTTCCTTCCTTCCTTCCTTCCTTCCTTCCTTCCTTCCTTCCCTCCTTCCTTTCTTCAGCCACCCATCTCGCCCGCGGATTCCTCCCCCTCCCCAAAATTCTCCTCCCGAACCGAACAGGTGGGGGGACGGCCTCGCAAGAGGGGGGTCGCCGCCTCCCCAGAAGCCCCACTACCCTCTCCCTCCCACCAGCGCCCCGGAGACGCGTCCGCCCGGCTTACCCAGCGCCCCGGTCAGGATGCGGGGACTGGCTGTGTGAGGGACGGCGGCGCAGCGCAGCGCCGGCAGCACCAGCGCCGGCAGCACCAGCAGCAGCGCCCGCAGTCGGCGGGCGACCGAGACTGCGGTGCCGCGTTGCTCCGGAGGTGGGAACATGCTGAGCGTCTCTAACTTCGGGGGACCTGTCTCGAACTTCGCTTTGGAAACCGGAGTGAAAGCTGAAAGCGGCTATATGAGCTGGCAAACCCCGGCGGGGGCGGGGCAAGGTAAAGAAAGTGGGAGGGGGGCGGAATGTGGAGTCTGATATAGATGCCTTAATCCGGTCTCTCTCTCTATGTCTAGAGAGCTTCTCAATCCTCCGGGTCCTGGGATTGTCCCCCCAAGATGCTTTTCCAAAAGGCAACTAGACTTTGGGGGGTTTTCCCCCCCCCCGGAAACTTTTCACCTCTCGTCCCAGAAGCTTCTTTAGAGTATCTCTCTCTGGACGGTCCCACCCCTCCACCACCCAGGCATAGCTACAGACATAGAATCTCTCTCTATATACCTATCTCACATAGGTATTCTTAAGGTGCTAGCTGTCAGTAGGTAGGTTAGGTGGTTAGGCAGGCAGGCAGATGAGAGCCAGGGGGAGAGGAGACAGATGAGAGAATAGAGGAAAGAAAGAAAGAAAGAAAGAAAGAAAGAAAGAAAGAAAGAAAGAAAGAAAGAAAGAAAGAAAGAAGAGGGAGGGAGGGAGGGAGGGAGGGAGGGAGGGAGGGAGGGAGGGAGGGAGGAAGAGACAGATGATAGATAGATAGATAGATAGATAGATAGATAGATAGATAGATAGATAGATAGATAGATAGATGGATGGATGGATGGATGGATGGATGGATGGATGGATGGGGAGAGAGAGAGGTAGACAGTCAGTCAGGCAGATTATAAGTAGAAAGATGATAGAAGCACACAAATACATACAGTGTATGTGTATATACAGTATCTCTCTCTCTCTCTCTCTCTCTCTCTCTCTCTCTCTCTCTCTCTCTCTCTCTCTCCTGCCTGCCTACCAACCTATCTACCTACCTACCTATCTATCATCTATCTATCTATCTATCTATCTATCTACCCATCTATCTACCCATTTGTCTGTCTGTGTCTGTCTACCTACCTGTCTGTTTATCTATCTATCTATCTACCTACCTGTCTGTTTATCTATCTATCTATCTATCTATCTATCTATCTATCTATCTATCTATCTACCTACCTATCTATCTATCCTCAACTCACAAATATAAATTGGGACTAGAATTTCCATGTGAATCTTGCCTGTTTTTTTTTTTTAACCACAGTTGCTAAGTGAATCAATGCAGTTGTTAAACGATTCATGTGGTCGTTCAGCAAATCTGGCTGCCCTTATCCCATGACCCCAGGACAGTGCCATGGTCCTCAGCGAACGCTAGTCGCCACACACCCAAAATCTGATCTTCTGATGATCAGGATGCTACGATGGCATTTGCTCCAAGGAGCGGCCCTAAGTCATTTATGAAGTCAAATGATTTTTTAGCCCAGCCCTGAGAGTTCTCCGATGCCTCATTTTCCATTTAAGCTGTATAATATGAATCATAAAAGGGCATCAATAATTGCACACGGATTAACACCAAAACCGAGGAAGGCCGAGACTTCTGTAAATGTTTATGGGAAAAGAAGGAATGGAGAGGAAACGAGCAAAAAATGGATTAAAAGCCTTTGTGCTGGGGGCCAAAAATTGGGGAAATCAAATCATTGATCGATCCTAAAAGTTTAAATTGATCAGACAGATCCTAAAAGCTGAAGCTTAGGGGAGGAAGCAGGAGTCTTCTTTTCAGGAGTTGTGATCTTGCACACCTATACAGCTTTTTAAATTCTTACTACGGGTTGGAGTTAGGAGAATAAGATGGCAAGGGGTAGCTTCCAGATCTTTTGTGCCACCGTTTGCACAATACGTCGCACCATTATTAAGGTCTGAAAAAAAAATTAATATGATGTTTTATTTTGAGAATTTTGGATTATACTATATTGATTGTTTGGTGGTTTTATATCCTGTAAATATGGAAGTAAAATTGTTACTATTGTTATACATTTTGATTATGTCTGGCCTTACGGCTGTAATAAACAGATTGATGGATTGATTGATCTTGAAGGACATTTCTCAGCAGTTGCAACTAAGGAAATGGCCACATATTTATTCTATTTATTATTCATTCATTCATTCATTGCATTGTTGCCCATCTCACCATCTCCTTGTCTCGGTGATGCCAGGAAATGTCCTTTTAGCAACCACCAGAAAGGCAGAAATATTTAATAACTCCGGGCGAGAAAGCATTCAAAGGGACATCTTTCACTGCCATTACTGTAATAGTTTTGGGTTTTATAGTCCATAATAGCAACAGCAGCCAGTAAAAGCAGAGGGAAGGAGCAGAGGGAAGCTGGTTGAACAATTCAGACAACCGGAGCGTGTTGCTCAGAAGTAGCCGGGATCAAAACTGCCATTGCAGAGAAAATGAAAATGTTGGGAAGAAGAGAAATGGTCAGCAAAGAGTCCCTCCTTGGGGAAAGATTTGATAGCCGGGGGGGGGGGGGTAGGGGGGGTATCACCCCCAAAATTTCAGGGTTCATTTGCAACCCTCCCTTCAATGCATGGGAAAGCATTTGAACAAGAAGGTGGATTGAAAGAAGAGACATCTGGAAGGAAGGGCTGCATTTGATCACACAAATGCATCGGTTCTTGCAAAAGGTGGAGCAAGCCGGTTTGGATAACAGAATAACAGCGTAGGAAGGGACTTTGGAGGTCATCTAATCCAGCCCGATGATCACGCAGGAGACCCTGTACCGTTTCAGACAAATGGGTGCCCAGTCTCCTCTTAAAAGCCTCCAGGGATGGAGCACCCACAACTTCTGGAGACACGTTGGTCTACTGGTTAATTGTTCTAAGTGTCAGGAAGTTTCTCCTTAGTTCCAGGTTGCTTCTCTCCTTGATTAGTTTCCATCTGTTGCTTCTTCTCCTGCCTTCAGGTGCTTTGGGGAATGGGCTGACCCCCTTTTCTTTGTGGTAGCCCCTCAATATTGGAAGACTGCTATCAAGTCACCCCGGTTCTTCTTTTCACTAGACTAGATGTACCCAATTCCTGCAACTGTTCTTCGTATGTTTTATCCTCCACTCCCTTAATCATCTTGGTTGCTCTTTTCTTCCCTGATCTTGATCACCTGACCTTGATGGCTCGCTGATCCTCAGATGTTAGTTAGTTAGTTGGTTAGTTAGTTTGCAAGAAGAAGGCTTGTGAGAGAGGCTAATCCAGTGGTTCTCAACCTGTGGGTCGGGACCCCATTTGGGGTCGAACGACCATTTCACGGGGGTCGCCAAACAACGCAGTCCGCCATTTTTTCCCCCTTTTCCTTAGCTGTGCTACTCCCTTTTATTCTATTGGCTTTTGAAAGCCAATAGAATAGACTCTCTTGAATAGAGTCTAATTCTATTGGCTTTCAAAAGCCAATAGGAATTGTCCAGGCTGTCTCTGCCTGCTGAGCCTGCCAAAAGTCCCAGTCTGCAAACGGTGCTGCACCAGTTGAGTAGTCCTCGACTTATGACCGGTTGAATAGTCCTCGACGTACGACCGGTTGGGGGTTGCAGCATTAAAAAGGTTGAGAACCACTGGGCTAATCCATGCCACGCTCAGTCTTGTGTTTTCAAGCTGCAACGGGAAACATCAAATTTTCCATCTTTCCAAGCAAGATCTCCTGACCTTGTGATGAATGACAGATGGCTGTGTGATTATTATAAGCAGTGTATAAGCTAGTGTGATTACTGAAAACAAGTGATGAGCAGGATATCAGGGATGAATCCAGGGGAAACAGAACAAAGCAGAAGCAGGAGTTAACCAGATTCTCACAATCTGATTATTGGCGCCTCCCTGACACGAACGGATGATGGTTCAAGACTCAGCAGCTTGCTTCTGGTCCTCTTTTCCTGAAACAAGGTGGAGTCACTGTTTCCCAGCTGTTGGAGCTGGATCAGGTTGGAAAAATAGTTTTAAAAAGAAGAGTTGGCCTAGAAAGCAGAAGGGTGCGAGTTCCAGATTTTCCTTAAGCACGGAAGCCAGCTGGGAGATTTTAGATCAGTGGTTCTCAACCTGTGGGTCGGGACCCCATTTGGGGTCGAACGACCATTTCACGGGGGTCGCCAAACAAGGCTGTCTGCCATTTTTCCCCCTTTTCTTTGGCCACGCCCCTGGCACCCCCTGATGTATAAGTGGTTGGGGGTCACCACAACATGGGGAACTGTATTATGGGGTCGCGGCATTAAAAGGTTGAGAACCACGTTTTAGATCAATCCTGATCCACCTGGTAGGGTTATTGTGCTGGTAAAAATAGGGAGTGGGAGCATCCAGTACGCCACTTTGAGTTGCGCAAAATAAAGGGAGGATCTAAGAATTATTTTTCTTAACTAATGCAAGAACTGTATTCTTGATTCTGTAAAAGACTGCATTTCTGCAGAAGTCATGGAGGTAATTGCTCCAGCAGATTGTTATATTTATGATCATTTAGCTGATGAATAATATCATAATGTTGAAGATTTGCCAGCTGATTATCATAATGATATTTACGACACTTTATCCAGCTGGTGGCGATAATTTATAATCATCTGTAGCTATAGATGTTAATTTATTTCAGATCCAACTGGACACTGAATTCTCACGGAAATTATTTTGTTTGATAAGCAATTTGCACTTCTGGTTTTTCAAGGAGTACATGTTTTTTTTCCCCCCTAAATCTGGCTGCCCTGTCTTCCTGTCCATCCTGGCCAAGTGGCTGGACATCATTTTCTGGGATACAGGAATGGGTTGATATGTGCCACTGAGTTCAAGGATGAATGGTGTGATTGTAATCATTTCCCACAGAAACTCAAATGACCATTCATAACTATGCATGTTTACGGCAACTTCCCAAAAATCTTCCAGCCCACTTATTGAAGGAAAATACACCCAGTTCGGGAATGGAATGGACAATGGGGATTGAGGGGAAACAACCAGTTCAATAACTCTGGCCAGGGAGATCGAAAATCAAACCAGTTCCTTCAGGTAGCGAAAAGCAATTCCTGTTCAGCGGACACAGGTTCAGATTTGTTCTCCAAAATTCCAAAAGCTTCTTTATCATTTTCACCCTGTTCAGAACGGCAAGCAAAAGCTTGCTTTGAAAGCTTCAGGAATACAGAATAACAGAGCTGAAAGGGATCTTGGAGGTCTTCTAGTCCAACCCCCTGCTCAGGCAGGAAACCCTATACCATTTCAGACAAATGGCTGTCCAGTCTCTTCTTAAAAACTTCCAGTGTTGGAGCATTCAGAGCTTCTGGAGGCAGGTTGTTCCACTGGTTACTTGTTCTAGCTGTCAGGAAGTTTCTCCTTAGTTCTAGGTTGCTTCTCTCCTTGATTAGTTTCCATCCATTGCTTCTTGCCCTGCTTTCAGGGACTTTGGAGAATAGCTTGACCCCCTCTTCTTTGGGGCAGCCCCTTGAATATTGGAACACTGCTTTCATATCATAGTCCTTCTTTTCACTAGACTAGACATA